TGAGCGTTGCACCCAGATAGACAAGAACTGAACATTTTTGAATTTTCTCTCTTTCGCCCCCTCCCCAATTGTTAAGAGTATTACTGTTAAATTTTCAAGGGTGGGCATTTTTGTTACGTTCCCAGGTGGGAGGGCATCCCCGTTGATTATTCTTTGTATGAAGGCAGTCTTCAGAATTCCAAAAACGAAGCTCAGATGACCAAATTGGTGGATATACTCAGCTGGAAATTCACCTAACTACTATGTCGCTAGCTTTTCCCTTGAAGAGCTAACAAAAAACATGTCAGTAAATTTTTTTTAATTATCTACACCGTCCGAAGAACCCCAAAAATCACACTGACCAATAATTGAACTAGCATTGCTACATGATATAACAAGAAACAGGGTTACAATTTGAAATCCAATTGAACACGGCCTCAAGAAGGAAAAAAGAGGGGGGAAATAATAATAATAATAAGGCAAACCAGTGAAGTGACAAGATAAGTTGCAGAAAAATCCAAATTGTGCACTAAAGAATACATGCGCAGCATGATCCATGCCCATCTTAATTATATCAGAAGGAAACGCGGGTTGCCAGGCCTCTTGCAAATCACCATGGGTCGCTCGCCAAGGTAATTAGCCTTAAGGTGCCTCTCCCTGAGACAGGTACTGTAATTAGATCTAAACTAGCTAGCGCCGGGTTGTACGAGATTTAGGCCTGGAAGTTTTCTGCCATTGTGAAGGAAAAATGAAAAGGTTGAAGACATATAAATGTAAAGAATAACAAACAGGTAAGCAACGGTGCATTGATCAGGGAACTGATCTAGAATGCTATCCATTCTTATCCTTGAGCTATATACCAATGCACAAGGGCAAAAGAAAAAGGGAAACAAATGAAGTAACATGACTCACAGATGCAGCCCCAAAGCTAGCCCCTGAACCTGCTGCAGCACCTAAATTTTGAAAATTATTGTCAGTATTGGATAAAGCATATATTGGGAGAGAGTGCTGGGAAAAAGAAGAAGAAGAAGGAAGCAAAGTATCATCGGTTCTATGCAAGTGAAGTTTAATTAGTAGAAAACAAACTCTCATCCATGTCTAATCTTTTTCTTTTCATCCCCGTTATGAGAATCAAAATTCATATAACATTTTTCTGTTTCTTTTATTATGCAGATTATTAAGTGGATATGAAGTGACGGATATCTGTCAAAGTAGTGTATGGTGAGTGTTTTAGATTAAAAAATGTATTAATTGAGTACACATCTGAATAAATGTATCCTTATATGCTAGGGGTGTACATGAAGTTTTGCTGTGGGTTCCGATAGAAGTACCCAGGCAGGTAACATAGGTAATATATAACTAGTATATTCGATGGTGACTGATATCCAAGATCTTAGTTTAAGGTCTTTATGCAATAGATAACATTCTAAATATCTAAAGGTTGAAACTAAAATATACCTGAGGTGAGTGTTGGCGTCGAAAAGAGCGTAGAACCTCCCATGGCGGGAGTGGATGCAAAGGATGGGCTGGATCCAAATAGCGACGGAGTCTGAGCAGACCCAAAGAGAGATGATGAAGATGTCCCAAAAGGTGTTGACTGCGGTGTAAAACTAGGTGTGCCAAATAGATTAGAAGCTGGAGCAGATGTTGTTGGAGTAGAAAAGAGGGATGAGGATGAACTAGGAGCAGCCGGCGTGCTAAACAACGAGAACCCGCTGCTACCAGAAGAAGCAGTAGAGGTCCCTGCTGCTGGTTGTTGCTGAACACTTGATACTGGCATTGTTGGGCTAGAAAATAATCCTCCACTCTGACTGGATGATTGTGCAGAATTTATGGGTAAGTGCAAAGTAGGATGAACTCTTCGAGCAGCAGCTTCTTGTTTGGCTGTTTCGCGCCTGTCAGCCTCAAGAAATGGATCATTCACATCACCACGACGCCTGTGGTCAGCTAGATATGCTTTCTTCATAGACTCAATGTATTGGTGAAGGCTCTCCACCTACAAAGAAACAGTTGCAGCTTTAAGCCATCTAAAATTGTCTAGATACTCATTGTGGGTAGGTGAACAACAGGACCATTAAACTCGTTGCAAGTATTCAAAGATAAGTAATATATGGCTGCTAAATCAACGATTGGGTTAATGAACATGAAAAATACATATGTGACTGGAAATAGAATGTTCAGGGGGGAAATCATTTCTCTACCACAAGTAGAAAGAGAATATTTGTGTGTGGGAAAGACAACCGTGGATTGTAACTTACAACATGAAAATCAATGACAGAGTAAAAGGAGAGAAATAGTAAATTAAGGAAACGATATTCTCGCAATACAACTGAAATCGATATTTTTTTCTTAATGACAACTGAAAGATATTCACATGGAGTGTACCAATGAACAGAGTATATGTAAATATGTTATGCATGATGTTAAGCATAGATCTATAAATACAGTGATGATAATATCAAACATAATACATTCCATGATCAACATTATTTTGTACCAAGTTAGTAATAAAATTCTTTAGTTTCTTGCAACTCATATACCTTGGCAGCAACATGAACAAAGAAATCATGCACATTTGACATGACATTAGGTAGAGACTGTAGGAGGCCTGATCCAGAGGTTGACGAGCTTTTGTCCGCATCCATAAAAACCAGCTGTTCCAATTCTTCAATCCACTGACAACATTCAACGAGGTATTTCTCAAATCTGGAAACTGTATGTTGTATAAAAGGAGATGGTCTTTTCGGAAGCCCGATATAGAAATCATACATGGGCATCGAGGTGTCAGTAGTTGCTTGATTATTGGCTGTAGTTGAAGGATCCTGATGACGAAACCTTGGTCTAAGCCTCATATATGACCGTATAGCAATCTCTGTGTTCCACATCATATTTTTAGCTTCAGTCATCAATTCTTTCACAGTAATTCTCTCCCTCTCCATAGCAGTACTGGTTCCTCCCAGTTCCTGCAAAGTGACAACAATTGGCAGTCATCAGATAATATACACAGGCAGATAAAAATTGAAACCAGTCTGATGCATGTAACATAAAGAAACTGCTCTACTCAAGAGTACATCCGTGGTAATTTGGTAAGGGACAGGCAAAGAAAGTTTTGAAGAGTAGAAGGTAACAAGGCAGAAAAGCTATTATTTTCTGTCATGTCCCGTAATACGGCTAAACTTTTTTTTTGGCACAGTAACCACGAGAACGAGGATGAAGGTTTTATGAAAACGGGTGTCGTGGTGAATGACCAAACTAGACCATGCGACACAACAGAATTATTAGAAAATGGGGGGGTGGGGGTGGGGGGGTACACGGGGGGGTACACAGTAAGCACGAGAATGGGGATGAAGGTGTTACGAAAACAGGTGTCATAGCGAATGACCAAAGTAGACCATGCAAACACGATAGAATTATTAGAAAATAATTCACCTTGCTTAACAATTACAGTGTCAGGAACAGTGCATCTCATTATATGAAGTCACAACAACTAATGATTTAGAATATAGCACATCAGTTTAAAATCTGATCTATGATACAAGCCTGTCAGGGTTAATACACTTGCTCCCTTCTATAATTAAATGTGGGCGAACTTCAGTTTGCAATCTAAATTGCAACTTGGCTAAGTTGACAAGATCCGAGCAAACTTGGCAAGATATTAAAAAAATAACTAAAAGTAGGATTTCACCGCAAAGAAAGTACAGATATTTGAAAATCGATACCAAAGAAAGTACAAAAATTCTCACACTTTCAAGTCCAAAACTTCACATGGTATACTCAGTGAGAAGTAAGAATAAACGGCATCTCAATAAGTGTTTACCTAGGTCACCCAGAAACTTCAACTTGGCTCCCGTATCCGTGTCCGTGTCCGACACTCCGTGGACACTTCTTGGATATATATACATACATTTATTCAGTGTATTCAATCGTATACACATATTTAGTTCAAAAAACTCATGATACACTTTTGAAAGTATATTGTACACTTCATCTCAAATTTATGCAGCTCATTGGACTCAGGACATGTTAGTTTTAGCACAAACCTGTGAACTAGTATGATTTTAGGTATCTTAATTCAAATATGAGCGGTTTTGCAACTTATAATATACTCGATAAAGAAAACATAACAATGGTATAAGGATTTTAGTTCTCATAACATGTGGATGAAAAAAAATATCAATCTCATATATATTATTACTTTTAATATGTATGTATACAGCCGTGTCCCCGTGTCCTAACTTTTACTATTTTTTTGTGTCTCGTATCAGCACTCGTGTTCGTCTCCACACCTGCACCCATATCCATGCAACATGGGTGTTTTCTAACACCAACAATCGCCAACACTGGCCCAAAGACATGAATTAGCACAACATTGTGGGGAACATAAAATTTTAAATCAATAAGGCGTGGAGTGTGAAATAGCTGAAAATTAGCAACCTGTAATCTAAATGATGATCATCACAGAATAGCTTAGGGTAGCAAGAGAACATAGAGAAGAACCTGTATAATTTGACTAGTGACAAGATCAAAATTGTCGCTTGATACTGAAGAATCGTAAAGCCGGCTACACTGATCTAGCCTTTGACTCTCATCTCTGTACTCCAAAATATGCTCCCTATATTACAAAGAGACCTTACATGTTAAATAGGTTCATATGAAGGTTAGCATTCAAAATGCCTAATCCTGTTTACAATTGAAAAGTTCATAAAACATGATGCATCTAAAGCTTCTTGTGCAGCAAAACATCGGCTAGGCAAAACTTAAAATGTTTCACTTCTATTTCTTCCACTTTTTCCCTTCAGAAGCATACCAATGTAGCTAGTAACAAATAAAAATAGGCAATCCTTTCCTTCACAAATTCTCGCCTTTATGAGGAAGAAGCAGGTGATAGTGGAAGAAGACTGAAAGAGGCCTATTTGAGGTAGGGCTTCAGAATAAGTATCATCATTGTGGTACAACTTTATATTCGAAGTAGCGCTACTCAAGCAATAGTCTGAGAGTATATACTATAGCCTTATTGCGATTTCATGTCACTAGCTATTAAATTCAAGAATGCAATTACTAGAATACATTGTATAAAATGAAATAATAACCGATTACAAACCTAGCAAAATAGAATGCTAACACTGCTACCCATCCAAATCATGATGCTTGCAACAACGTTCTCTGATGATGATCAAATAGCAAAAGATTAACATAAGAATATAAATTCAACCCATATACCCCAATGCTTGAGAGGGGGAAAAAAGCCATACAACAAAAAGAAAAAAGAAACCACCACAGACACGGAGGCAGAGAAAAAAAACCATGTCCAACCCATGACAACAACTTCTTCACATTTCTTCATCCTGATGCAGCAAGAATAGTTGCTACATGATCAGTGCGTATCAGAAGCTAGTGTCACGGACTTTTCTAGGGTGTAAAATATACCTCTTGAAACAGATCATCACAAAATCAAGGGTCTAGTCATACTTAGAATTTAAAAAGAAAATTTAGTTTAATGACACATTAACTGAACCTAGGTATTGGAAATAGATAAATGACATTTGGAATATCATTTTCATTGATTCTAACTTTGAAAGTCCCTGAAGATTTTTGTAACTTGAATTTCAAGACATTTAGAAAGGCATGTGTTAATGAAAGTCTTAGTGAAAAGTGACTAGTTTCAAGCTTCATTATGGATCAGCTGCCACCAATCTGCTAATAAAAGAATGTCTTCCTATATCTATGTTGTTAAGAAACTCTCCCCGAACTCGAAGAGTAACAGAACAAGCAACTTGAACTTGAAATGGGGTCTGTGCAGGAATTGGGGATTGAACTTGATCTAAGATGGAACTCTGCAGCACTACAAAATAGTCCTCGTGGTTGGCTCTCTACCCCATATAAAATGTACATCCAGCCCACCCAAAAAAAGGAAAAACACACACAAACACAAACACTTGCCAGACAACGTTCGTTTATGCCGCCACTCTTTCCCAGTTCCCAGCATAAAACAGGTACACAAACCCCCAACCCAAAGCCACATCCCCCCCCCCCAAAAAAAAAAAAAAACCAAAAAATACCGTCAGAACACAAATGCTTGAAGTTAAGATCGTGCCCAGTAGTGATAACTGTGGTTTGATATATCATCTCTTCCATTAAAATAAGTGGACATATTGAAGTCTTCCATCATGCATGATCGTAATGGATAGGCATGCATGCCCACTTGGAGAAAGTGAGATGAATGACGATAGAGACTGGAACGAGGATCAGGCAGGAGATAAAGATCTCTTTGCTAATAAATCTAGGCAATGAACCTGGGAACAGCTTGAAGGATGCAATAGCAAGCTTTGCAACTCATACAAATACAACTTAAATGGTGAAGAATTCCACTAACTCCAGGCTATGGATAGAGTGGGAATGTCAAATAGGCTTTTGATGGACAAGTTAAGAAGTCTAGAAACCCTAATTGGTGTACCCTAAATTATCAACAAAAAGATAAGTCATGCCAACAGTTTTGTAATGACCTTGAACCAACCTTCAGTTTGCATGTAAATCGTAGTGTGAAATTCCAATGCAAGATCAAAATTTCTATAAGTCGAATTACACTAAATAGAGAATGCATGCTATGCAGCCTGATACCTAGCCCGAAAATGGTCAGGAAGTCAAAACTTTCAACCATAAAATATCATGGCTGACCTCCCTTGATTCAAAAGTCAACTTCTAGAAGCAGAAATACAAGTCAGGAATCAAAAAGTCAGAAACATAACTTCAACTCTCCGAATTAAGGGTAAATTTTCACCAAAAAAATCCCTGGACTTTATGGGGTCCTACAGGAATCCCCGTTAATTTTTTCCGCACCCCACCTCAAACGTTTATGAAACTCCTCCCACAGAAACCCCCCCCCCCCCCCGACAAACATTTTATGGCTTCGTTTGGCCCACTTTATTTTGACTGTGTAGGAAATAAGTACCAAGGTTTTAAATGTCGGCCGACATGTCCAGTTTGAGGGCTTGAGCGACACGACATGAGCGTTTTCAACTCATATATCGGTTTTCAGGGCCAAATCGAAAATATCGGGACCATATCGGACATATCGACCGATTTTTCAGCCTTGAAAAATCGACTGATATGGCCCTTTTTTAGATCTGTTTTTTGTTATCGGGTTTGGGTTTAGTGATAAAAACCCAAACCCTTTTGACCCGTTCTCATGTTTAAGGGTTTCTTATGAAACCGATAGAAAAAAAGAGAAAAATTAGGGATACGACGGACTTGGGAAACGATCACTCCTTTCATGAACGACGACGTCATTCCCCTACCTCCATCTCGGACCCCCGTCGTCCATCTCCTGTTGCGCCCCGAAATCTGAACTCTAACCAAACCCGAGGGTGGCAGGGTATCCCATCGTCGGGATAAAGAGAAGAGGGTGGTCGGTAACTCATCCGAAGGACCACAAACAGACGAAGAAGAAGAAGAGCCCCGTTGCCGACACTGCCTCCCTGCGACGTCTCGTGGCCGACACTACCTCCCTGCGACGTCAGAATCCACCCATCGCCGACGCCACCTCTAGAATTTATAAAGTATGCTTACATTGAATTTAGGAATACTTAGATTACATTTCGGACATAATATTATACATATGCGCACCACCTGATATGACAATCCGATATTTAGTCCATGTCCCCCGATATATCTCTGATTTCCGCTATCCGACATGGATTTTAACCATCCGACATGAACCCGACATCTGACATTTAAAACGTTGATAAGTACTTGTTGATCCATTTACACCATTGGGAGTCCATGCGAAGTATGAATGCAAAGGGGTTTTATTTGAGACGCCCCAAAGTTAAGGGGGTTTTGGTGGGAAGAAAGTCAGGATAGTTCATGGGAAAAGCCTCCCAACTGCAGGGAGGCTTCAAGGAATTTACCACCAAATTAATGTAATTTCTATATACAATTTAATACCCAAACACGCGCTAGAGTCATCCAACACAAGACAGGCATTCAACCATATTGGAGATAATCAGATTGGGGATAACTAGTGTTTAGTTCATGCACTATATGCACAGAGTTAGAATTTACATTAAATTTCATTCAAAAACCTATTATTATGAAACTTGAAGCATTATCCTACTTTTTTACATATAAACATATGATGTTGGTGTCGATAGCATATTAATATAATAATATCCAAGGTTTTGAAAGATTTTGTGTATCCTCACATCTTGCCGTCTCCAGGTTATATATATAACATCCCATATATATATATAAATATATATATATATAATAATTATATATATAATATATATATATGAGAAAAATGGGTATGCTTGTTTACAAGTATAAAAAATTATGCTTGGTAGTGAAGGTGAATAATCCCTCTACTTCATTCAATGGTTATATATCGCCCCATACACTCCTCAACGCCATGCTGAATGTAGTCCCTTAATTTGAATGAGTGAAGAGGATTATGTCACCTCACTACCAAGCATAAATTTGTGTTTGGTGTACCAAAGCAATACCCATTTATTCTTATATATATATAATATATATATATTATGATTATATATATATATATATATATATAAAGCAAATATGGGTATGCTTGCGCTACCGTAAAGCAAAAGTGTGATTGGTAGTGAGTGCACACAATTTTCTCCACTTCAATCAAATTGGTGTTAGTATATTCCTCATGCACTCCTCAACTCCTCAAACTCATGTGGAAGATTGATCCCTCATTTGAATGAGTGAAGCGGCGATTTGTTGTCACCCGTCACTTACCACGCACAAAATTTGTGCTTGGGTACGCAAGCATACCACATATTTTCTCTTTCGCTATATATATATATATATATATAAATATTATGCGGAAAAGTGTCCTAAGGGTGTGATGCCTTAGATAATCATCTAAAGGCGACCCGGGCGTCCTAAAATCACACGATGATTGAGCCTTACATTTGTGCGATGCATCCGCCTCCGTTAAAACTTGAGACAATTCGAAACCAACACAACCAAGTTTGGGGTGAACCTATCTGCCGTTTGACGCCTCCTCGTCGAAGCTATGTGAAAAGTTCTATTCATTCGAACCTGTTAAAATTAATACGAGTGGATGAAGGCGTCAGAACGACGCATGACGCTTTAGCCTCATGGAATCATATATAATATATATTATATATATATAATATATATATATATATATAGAGAGCAGAGGAGAGAGAGAAATGTGTGATTATTCGCGTACTAGCAACAACATTTCGTGGCTGCGTATGTGAGGTGACGTATATTCTCATCGGCACAACTGCATTTCCAATTCTCACGCACTGGGGACCCAAACTCCATAGTGAATGTGGGCGCCCCGCGATTTCCAATGAGTGGAAGCACGGAATATGTCACCTCAAGACTGACCAAGCACAAAAAACTTGTGCCTGGTAATCCAAGAGCATACCATTTTTCTCATTATTATATATTATATTATATATATATATATATATATAATATATATATATATACTTATATATATGTGTTGTGTGTGTGTGTGGCTGTGTGTGTGTGTGCCCTAATATATATATATATACATATATATATATATTATTAATATATATACTATATATATATATATATATATATCGTGTGTGTGCTGTGTGCTGTGTAGTGTGTGTGTGTGTGTGTTCGTGGTGTGCTGTCGTGTTGTGTGCTATATTATATATATATATATACTAGGATGTTTAGTTATAATTTGATTGGCTGCTACGCCCTTAATAATGATGCTTACCTCATGAATATGCACTTCCTATACGCGCCCACTTCAAAAGATTTAGTTAACACTTTCTCTTGATGAAAGTACAATTCTTTTTTCTTTAGTTGTGATGAGCTTTGTGGGTTACAATTATATACTCTAAATAAAAGCTAACTTTCAAACAAAGGAAGGATCAAAGAAGAAAAAACTCGATTAGGAGGAGAAGTTTCTGCAATAAGAAGATAAAAGTATACGAGCAGTGATACCGTCACTCTCGCCTGTTGAAATGAACAAGTAAATAAAAACAAAAAAGAAACTTCCTTTTTTATTTTAAGGGAAGGATCAAGAAGACGCACTCAATTTGAAGAAGCAACTTCTGAGAATCTGGATGGAGATCGGTCCACTTTGGTATGTGTACTGCAGGGTTTTATTCGCACAGTAAAGATGGCGTAATTTGCTGGCTGCTGCTGCTGCTGCTGCTGCTGGCTTGCTGCTGCTGCTGCTGCTGCTGCTGCTGGTTCTGTTGAGGGCGAGGCTGAGGCTGAGCTGAGGCTGCGGTTGAAATTGGAACTGCGGCTGCTGAGGGCTGGCTGCCTGAGCTGAGCGAAGGAGGGAAAAGGGAGGTCTGCTGCTGAGGTTGAGGGTTCGGGAATTGAGGCGAAGGAGTTGAGAAGGAGAACGCCATTGGTTCGGATCTCTGCCAATTTGTTCGGGGACGAGAGACTTAAAACCCTAGTTATCGTGTTCCCGTTTATGGCTGGGAGATTCAAAAAACCTAGCTCTTGTGGGATTTGGGGTTTTCGATTTTCAAAACCCTAGTTGCCGGTTAAATCATGTGAGAGGAAAGCCGCGGTGATGGGGACCACTTCAAGCTCCATGGTCTTGACAGCTGTCGCATCCAACGGCTAGCAACAAATAACCGATTGAGGGGCGACGATATCCTCATTCTACACGGGTGCCCTGATGTAATTTGTACACTGGTGAGAGTTTTTGGTACAAGTTCCTCAAAATCAACTGTATTTGAGATTTATTTTCAAAAATCTATATATTTCATATTTATATTTCATTTTCGACTTAGTTTCAATCTGCTCACTAAAACTGTGTCGAAAATGCTAGATAAATTATGATAACTTCACGTGTTTAGAATCCTGTGAAATGTAGTGCTTAATTAATCAGCGCTAAATAAAAAGGTTACGAAAACTTTACGGGATTTTTGTTTAGTGTTGATTGATTAATTAAGCACTAAGCTTCACGATATTCTAAGTCCCGTGAAGTTTTCGTAACTTATTTAGCATTTTCACCTAGTTTACTAGGTCGTATACTAAATAAAAGATAAATAGTTATGTTTTTAAAAATAAAGTTCCAAATGAGTTAGTTTTGAAATTTTGCCATTTTGTAGCCTTTGATTATAGAGCTGACAACTTCGGTACTCCAGTAAATCTTTTTGAAGTATCAATGGCATTGGCAGCAGTTATAAAACTAGAAATATAGCTTTCTATTTTCTTAGTTGACATCATCTTGTTACGTCAATTTACAAACTATAGGTTTACTTTCTTGTTTGATTCTGTTCTCGCCAAAGTAATTATTGCTAGGCTTACCATGTGTAAAATTTCTCAGTGTAATATAAAACAACAGATTTTGATATGAGTTCTTTGGATTTGTTATTTTGTTGCTAGGCTCTGTTTGGTGTTTGATGTACAAGTTCTGGAGAACTAGGGCTGTCCAAATGAGCATCGAGCTTGGACCTGGCTGGGTCTGAACCCGACCCGAGTCTGGATAAGGCCCAGAAAAGCTGGGCCGGTCGGGCTCCGGGCCCGTCGAGTCTGGGCCGAGGTGGTGAAGCTCGACCCGGGTCCGGCCCGATTTTTTAATTTGTTAAAATTATGATATATATATATATATAATATATATATATATATATATATATATATATATATATATGAGAAAAAAATAGTATATTTGTTACCAAGGCTAAGTTTTTGTGGGCTTGTAGTGAGGTGCATATTTCCCCTCCACTCATTGAAATCTGGGGCTCACATCACATGGGTTGGGGAGTGGTTGGGAATTGGAATGAGTGGATGGGCAATATGACACATCACTAGGCCAAACAGCAAAATTTTAGTGTTGGAACCAAGCATAAAGCGGCCGGCCTCTGTCTCTCTGCTCTCTCTCTCTGTCTCCTCTCTTCGTGTAACGTCCTCTCTGCTCTCTCTAAATATATATATATATTATATATATTATATATATATATATATATTATATATATATATATATATTATATATTATATATATATATATATATATTTTTTTAATAATATAATAATTATATGTATGATATGGTCATTAATGCATACTTATATATATTTATAAGTATATATTGTCATTAATGTATACTTATATATACTTACATATATATTTCTAATGTATACTATATATAATTATAGTATGATATGGTCGTTAATGTATACTTATATATACTTACATATAATATATATAGCTATATACTAATTGTAAGTATATACTAATATATACTTATATAGATATAATAAGGTAAATCTAAATTTTTTAATCAATTTTTAGCAAAAAAATCAAAAAAATACAAAAAAAAAAAAGAAAATCCAGGCCGGCCCGGAGCTTGACCCGGTTTGGCCCGGACCCAGGTCCGAGCTAGGCATTTTACCTGGTCCGGGCCGGCTTGTTTGGACAACTCTATGGACAACATAATGTTTGGCTTTTGGTTTTTTGAATATGGTTAGTAGATCGGCTCTGGTTCATTAGCTCCGTTTCATTAGCTTGTATGTACAAGGGGATGGGGGTGTAGAACAATGATGCTTTGGTGTTAGTAGGAAAAGTTTATATGCTTGCTATCAGTTAGATAAAGTTTTTTTTTTCGTCAATGAAACTTATTTTATTCCATTCACCATGTATGCATTGAGAGTACATCACACTCCGCAATAACAAGCCAGATAATGCAGCTCAAAGTTGACCAAAACTAAGCATAGATGTTAGTGTCTCACGTATATATAAAGCTTTTGCCAAACATGTTAAATTGTTGTGGCCAATAATGCAATGCGACGAAATGTAGTCATGTGTCTCCTTCCTATGATCCTTTGAGAGAACCATTGGATCAAACGAGTCCAATCACAACTCCTCCATTCGAAGTGTAATCAATCTATCATTTTATTTCAAACTGTAGAAGGATAAAGGCATGCTAAAAATAAGAGAGAGCATGAGTTTCTGAAGATGTAGAACAAAGCATACTAGTATTTGATTGAGCGAATCACATTACACAAATACACAAAATTAAAATCAATGAAACTTGTTAATAAGACTCCCAAAAATATCTCTCTCGTCACTCTCAACTCTCTCTAGACCAATTTCCATGCTGTGAGCAATGTCGCAGCCCATGACGACGACGTAGATTTGCAAAGCTACAGTGAACAAAGGGAGGAGGAAGTAGCATCAAGGGGATTCAGCTAATCGCTAACAGGGGATCATAAGTATGATGGTGATGTGGTGCTTAATTTGCTGGAAGTTCTCACCAAAGAAACCCTCAGATCCTTTTCGGACCCTAGGACTTGTGGTTGCGTTTGGCAAGGGGTTAAATAAAGGGTTAAGGGGGTTTAACCCTTCATTAGCCTGCCAAACAGAAAAAAAAAACCAAGGTTAACAAACCCCACGTGACCTCAACAGCCTACTTATCCCGTCAAAATAAGGGATTACTATTCCTCGTGATAAGGCGGAACAAGCTTGTTCCACCTTCTCACGAGAGGGTAGGCAGCGTCAATATGAGAAAAATATTCTCCGGTAAAATTGGGGAATTACGATAAATTAAGTTGATGCGGTATAAACATGTACCAAAAAGGTTGCAAGTGCACAACCGTGTCAAGTTATAGTATTTAAGATATCGATCCCACGAGGAAGGTGTTTTGTAGGAGAAAATATAAAATCGGTTCTTATGTTGTGTGTGTGACAAGTAGGAGTGATAAGTGAATGTGATTGTGAAGAGATTGAGAGAATGAAAATGGTGTGTGAATAAGTGCAAAGTGTAAGTGAGAGTGGATTTGAGTATGATCAATAAGGTGAGAAGGAAAAATGAATAAAATAAAAAAATCAAGAATGAAGAATAAAATTCAAGAATAAAAGAAAATGCAAGAAATTAAAGATGGTGGATTCAATTATAGATATGGATAATCTAAAATTGAACCCACTTCTTAGAAAAGGGTGATTCCCTAGAGGGTTCTAGCCTAAAGGCGAATCAAACAAAATAAAAATAAACAAAAAGAAAAACTAAACCCAAGAGGGTTCTAGCCTCAAGGTGAATAGTATAAGAAATTAAAATCTAACTACAAATTAAATTGCAAAATCTAAACTATAAAATAAAATTGCAAAAATTAAATGCAAGAAAATAAATCTATTCTATAAGCATGAAATAAATCTAAGGCAAGAGGGTTCTAGCCTCTTGGCTATTTAACAAGAAAATAAAATCTAAACTACAAGCATAGAAATAAATCTACACTAATAAGCAATAAAAAGGAAATAAAAGAGAAAAAGGAAAGAAAATGCAAACCTCCAAATAATTCTTCATCATCCTCTTCATCATCCAACAAAGAGAAGAAATATTTAAAGTGGTGAAAAAATTATTATTATTAATTGCAACTAAAGTTACAATTTTTGGAAGGCCTTCTCAATTAAGAGTAGCCCTCCTCTCCAAAAGGAGTTTACAAAATTTTCACACCTCTAACCCCTCACTCTCTACCCCTATTTATAGTAATCTTCAATGAATATGAGCCATTGGATTTGTCTTGAGCCCCAAGCAACAATCTCCACATTTGAATTTGCTTTTTGGTTCTTCTTTAGCCCATATGATTTCTTTGATTTTCAAAAGAAAATCCGGTCCAATAAGTTTGGTCTCATTTATGCAGCAGCCGGCCCAATTGAGTTCCCATTTGATTTTCACAAAAAAAAACCGAAATTGAAGAGCTGGTCCAATCCAAATTTACAGCAAAATAGTCCGGTCATGATGTGTGTGAATTCAATTGATTTTTCTTTGGCCCATGTGCAACCATAATCCGGCCCTCTGATCTATTTGATTTTCCAAAAAATTTTTTTTTTTTTTTTTTTTTTTTTTTTGAAACTCAACCGGCCCATATGTATTCTATGAGAGCTCACAAGACTGGCCCATTCAAGATAATTTTCAACTCTTTGGCAGCAATCAAATTCCAGCCTCTTTCATTTGATAAAAAAAAATGCAAATAAGTCCACAACAACATGATAATTATCTTGGAGATCATTTCACTTGCTCTTTGGGCTTCACTCATGGGCTTCTAAAATGCTAAGAATAGAGAAGAGAGATTTTGAGGGGTTTTTATATTTAATAATATTTATTTATATTTATGTGCAAACTAAGCTAACAATAATTATTAATTGTATATTTATTCATATAAAATAGATAATGAGGGTATAAAATTGTAATAAAAATGTGATTATCATAAGTACTTCGAGCTCAGCAGAGTGGAGCAGAGAGAGACGATAATAAAATTGGGGAATTACAGTAAAATAAAAACCCTAATAAGCTGAACAAAGCAACCAATCGAAAGTGAAGAGTATTCAAGCTCAAGCTTCTGCTGGCAACGGTGCCTTCATCGGCGTCGGCCCCCGATTGGCGCCACCTCCGTCGATCCGGCGATCTCATCGTGTGGTTCGCGCCAAAGGTTAGGGTTTCAACAAAATCTTACTCGTTTTCTTATTATTTATTTGATTGATTGAGGTCATAATGTTTCTTATACAAGCCTCAATTGCCTAAAAGGGATAAAGCTCTAGTTGCTTTTGTATAGGGATACAAATCCAATTGGAGGAAGACGAAGAGACATCCATAATTGATTATTTCATTAGCATGTACTTTGATTGGAAGGAATTGTGTTAGAACTAGCGTGCATTATCTATTTTCACAGCAAATAATCGAATTACACTGGAATGAGTCAAATAGAATTTTTACTATAGAAGAAAGATTAGCCCAACATCAATTTCATGCTTTTGGTGGTTGATTGGTGTTGGGGCTTCATTACTATATCATCTCGCATGAATTCCTTCGAAATAAATACTTCAGATGCTCTATATAAATCATTAGGGGGATCTTTAAACCACCACAAAAGGAAGCTAAATATAAATAGGCTCTTTGTGTAGCTCACATGTTTTGTGATAGTTATGGAGTTGATTCTTTTGTGGTTATCCTGATTCGGAATTGAAGGAATGTTGGGTTAATTGAATTTTCCTTCTGGCTAAAACTTCACTTTGTTAGAGACTGTTATTGCTCTTGGATCACTTTCTTCTACTTATTTCCCAATTTGTAACTGTTTTTATTTTTCTTGAAGCAAAGGTTGTGGCCCAACTCCATCTATTACCACGAAGCAAGGCGCACGCGCGCGCACACACAAACACACACACACTGACAACTTTTACTTGCCTATACATACCTCAAATGTCCCTCTCTTTGCTCTTTTTCCCTTGTAAATTCTTCACCACTCTTAAGTGTCCTAAGCATGTGCTTGGTAGCCCAATATCTGTACTAATATGTCATATTCCTTTTATTTTAGACTGCAATTTGGTGGTAGTAGAATCTATGGTGGTGTCAGGTAAAATTTGTTTCACATGTCGTAGAGAAAATTGTGCAAGATCTTTGTAAACCATAATAGGATAGACATATTTTCATTAATATGATAGGAAAAAAGAAGGTACGACCTTAAATTTATCCCGATCTTAGAGTGATAAACCTTTTTGATGTTAGTCATGAACATGGTTGTACTAGTTATTTTGGTGGTAAAAGTGAACTTTCCATTTTGATGTTTGCGATATTTGTAGCTGAGCCAAGTGAAAAGTGTTGGCCTTCTTGTTTTGATGATGTTTAACAAACAATTTACTTCTAATGTTGTTTGTCTAGTGTTTGTGTTTTCGCATTTATTCTAGGCAAACAACGTAGTTGGAGGATGGATGGATTGCGCCATAACGATGATATCAAATGGAGGTTGGCGGAATTGTGGAGTGAAGCAACATGCAATTCATAGTTAAAGATCAAGTTCAAGCTTCATCCGCATGTGTACCAAGTTGAGCTACAATGAAGATCAAGATAAAGCTTGGGTAATCTAGTTTAGATTTTATATTATGTGTGTTAAGTACCTTAAGCTCAATATCATATACACACACGTATTTGGTTTCTATGTATATATATAGTTATATATATACATGCATGGTTTTGGGTTTTTCATGTTTTGAATACTTTTGCAAAATAATGAGATTTCACAATTAAGAAATGCAAATTGGAAAATTCTTTTTATAACATGTTCAAAATATCATTTGCAAACATTTCTCAAAGTTTCATCAAGTTTGGAATTGATTTGTTATGTTTAAAGGAATTTACAAATTCACGTTTTCGTTCGTGCACATGTTCGTGCATGTTTTACAAAACTGATGAGTTTTCACAAATGAGAAGTGATATTTAAAAAATTCTTTCTCTGACATGTTTATCTACATATTTATAAACTTCCCACAAAATTTTACTATTTTTGGAGTTGATTTACTGTGCCTAATTGATTTTACAAAATCGTGTATCACAGCAGATTTTCAGAAACGTTCGCGGTCGACCGGATTTTCGGGTCGGTCGACCGAATCATTTTTTCGGTCGACCGAATCGTTGTCAGGTCTCCCAACGGCTATTTTTCTAGCCGTTGCAGAACTTCTGTTTTGGGCTTTTTGGTCATTTTGTTTTGGGGGTTTTTGCTGAGATTTCTAGTGGGTATATATACCCCATTGCTGATGTCTTTTCTAGTAGATTAAGAGAGTTTAAAAACAAGTTTAAGAAAGTTTTTAATCAAGGGTTTATGTTTGGTTTAAGTGTGTTTATAAGCTTTTAAGCATTTGAGTGTTTTGGTTTTGTGAATCACTTCCACAAGAGCTTGAGGAGATCATCTATTGGTGTTTGAGCATCCAACTCTTCTCCTTCCACTCTTGATCTATTGAGAAGTTTTCTAAACTCAATCTAGCTTCATATTTTATATTGTTTGATTATCTTTTTATTAAGCTAGTGTTCATATTGAGTTTAGTTGATTTTATTATCTCTTTGTTCACACACAACCTATTGAGCTTATTGTATTTGCATACATTATATAATTGGGTTGTGGGATAGTGTGACATTGAGTTGAGCCTAATTGAGTTCTCACCTTGTTAGAGAGAACAATCATTTGCTATATTGTGCTTAATTGTTAAATCACTTTGTAATACTCTTGTACACCGAGTGAGGAGTGTGTGGTGAGAGTCGGGGATCGTCCCAAGAGGAGTGGCGTCGGTTGACGTGCCTAGGGAGAGGTTGTAACCGAGCACTTGAGGGAGACACGGCTAGGTCCAACACTTAGTGGGTGTAGAGTGTGATTGCAAGAGTGTGAGTTGTAGAGTTTTCGGTTAGCTAGAAAACCGAGTGTGTAGAAGAAGTTCCGGCTTCCAAACCGGATTGTGTTAGTGGATTTCTCCCCGGGAGTGGGGAGCGGAGACGTAGGACGGAAGGTCCGAACTCCGTGATCATATTGCTTGTTTGAGTTTGTCTTTGGCGTATTTGTTTTTGTATTTATCCTATATCGCCAATTGTGCATTACTCATTTATTTCATCCACTATATTGTTTATATTGTTTACCCTTGTGTTAGTTGACATATCCTTGCATACATCATATTGTATATCTCTTGGTAGGATATATCATCTTGTGTTAGTTTTTATATCCTTGCATATAATTCATAGTATATCTCATTGCTAGGATATATCACTTGTTCATATTGCTTATTCTTGCTTATAACTCTTGTATATCTATCTTGCAAGAATATACTTGTTAATTAATTTTAATTAGCATTTAATCGGATTAGATTAGCATAAGACCCTAATCACCCCCCCTCTAGGGTCTAACAAAAAGTCTGTTGAAATAATGAGGAAGTTCTCGGAGCAGTATGCTCTTCGTTCAGTAACATAATTTTGTGTAGATAAAAGAGTCACCTCTATTGTCATCAAGGTATATAAACTTTGACATATATGGTGTTATTCAATGAAATCTCAATACCTTATAACTCTCAATACCTTATATGAGAGGACTACTAATCTTTTATTTTTCTTAGCCACGAATTTACACAGTGCTGGAAAACTCTTTGTTATGGTTATGATAGACTTTTACTATATAACTTGGATTTTGGACATTTAGAATACATGCTATGTTGTGCAGGAGTGGCATTAAGAGTATTTTCTACTGAAACATTACTTTACAAACAGTATAATGTTTATGAGCAAGTTGCTTTCCAGCTAACAATTGCAAGTTGAGCATCCATGTTTAACTTGAAGAGTTCTATCTCTAATGAGCTATAACAATATAAACTTTCCGGGTGGGACAGTGAGCTTGTTGGGCCTTCTGGTTTAATTTATTTTTATTCTTACCACTTATTGCTGAATCATACAATTTTTACTGAAGGATGGAATTTTTAGCTTCGTAACAGAGACAAAATAGGATTTGGGGTATTGCATGTAGTTAGATTGCTGAAAGAGAACTTTGAACAATCTAATAGTGGCAAAATAATGAAGTTATCATTTTATTTAATAAAAAGTAAAGAAGCTTGCAGAAGTGCCTATGCGTGTGGTTACAATGAAATATGAACTTTGCTAAAGACCATGATGCATGGAAAAGTGCCTACTTGTGTTAGTATGAATGATGGTGGTAGTCAATTATCAGGACTAATATGCATCCCCTCTGCTGTATTCTGATCCTTTGACATCTTTATTATTCACTTTCACGTCTGTATTCCAATTTTGCATTATATACACACCTTCTGATTTCTGAGCTACAAAACCCCTCTGTTGTATTCTGATCCTTTGACTTGGCTGCAGGAGAAATTAGGAGTTGTGCCCATGTCATGTTTGCTACAGGTTGATAGGGGGTAATTTAACTTGGCAATCATCTCGACTATGTTACTTTGAAGATTGATCAACTTCTGGTTTCCTAGAGACCTGAGAACCACATGCTTCACTATCTGGCATTTACTAAAGCATTTTTCAAAATTTAACATTGTATTAAAGAAATATTGGAGATGTGATGCCACTGACAGTTTAAGCAAATGATCATAGACAATATATAATCGTAGGATTTCTTTTGTGTCATTTCATTTTTTATCTAATACAGCAATCACATGGTGTTTTCATGATTCAGTTCTTTAAAAACACAAAGGAGGTATATCCCAAGTCAAAATTTTGTATCTGGATTATCCGAAGGTACAGATAATCAAAATTCTGCATCTGGATTGTTCATCACCTAGTCTCCACATAACTTACATGCAAGAAATCCTTAAACTATTTTTTTATTGTACATTTTTTTGTATACATGCCCAGCAAGGGAGAAAAATGTTGTCAGATGATAATTACAATTTTGTATCCAGCCATGTTACAGTATTGATGTTGGTGGTTGGGGTTTGTTTTTAGATCCTAGCTTTTTTTCTTTTCAAAAAAAAAAACAGAGAGAAATCCCTAAACTTTGTTTTCATGAAATATATGTTTTTTATGGAAAATCTAATTTCAACCAGGTAGTGTTATTGAAAATTTTGGATCATGCTGACAATGAACGCACGGTGGGCTGTAACTGCGAACAACCAGGTAGTGTTATTGAAAATTTTGGATCATGCTGACAATGAACGCACGGTGGGCTGTAACTGCGAAGAATAGATTAGAGATATGCATATGAAAGGATCATGCTGACAATGAACGCACGGTGGGCTGTAACTGCGAAGAATAGATTAGAGATATGCATATGAAAATATGAATCAGAAGCACGGTGGTGTTCTTGCTAGATTGTGAATTATGAATTAAAGCAATAGAAGAGATTAACAAAATTATTCTTGCACCATATGAAATGGAATGATTTGCTGGTTAAACTGCACGCTACATTCATGCATCAGGTGTTTAGAAGAGGTAAATAACGCGAAGAAGATATTAATGAGGCAACCAGTTATAAATTTTTAGTAAGGGCGAAAGTGGTATTTTTTTGAAAAATAATGAGATTAATCTCCTTAGCCCTTCTTCATTTGCCAAACACAAAAGACTTAACCCCTTATCTTAACTATCGAATCCAAACGGAATTAGATTATTTTTAACCCTTCACAATGGATTAACTAAGTTAACCCTTCTCCTTAACCCATCTTCCTTATCCCTTTGCCAAACGCAGCCTAATGACTTCAGCATTTAGAATGCTCTCATATTGCATGAGGAAGAAAAAAAAAATCCATTTGCGGTTTTGGGACCGCCTAGCAACGATCTCTTTCATTGAAATATGCGCAATCAGATGCTCTTAATTACCAACGAGAAACTCATATGATCCATGTTTTCTTTGCTCAGTTACTCTTGAACCTAGTGATTTTGAGTATCAGCCAGGAGCTACATTTAGGGAATACAAAATATTTAAAAAAGCAGCACAAAATAAAACACTAAAGATGTGCAAACAATACTAGCTTTAATGGACAAATCCAAATATTCAATCAACCAAATAAAGGAATGATGCATGTAAGAACCACAAACAACACTTGCGAAGAGCAAATTGTTTGACCGGATGACCTAAACCTCACAAAAGGTGAAATAATAATAATAATAATAATAATACTATGATGGTTAAAAATCTAAGGGAAAATTGCATATAAGAAGCAAATTATATAAATAAACC